TCAAAAGCTGTTGACTAACACACAAATTAAAATAAGAAAAAATAAATAAATAAAAAAAAAGTCACCCCATAGGTGGGGTGCTGTAAATGTAGCGGAGCCTAGGGTGTTTTTTCATCTATAGACTATTTCTATACCCATGACATCAACATCACTGAGAAAGATAACGTCCAGCTGGGCATGTGACTTCAGGCCTAATTTAGTCACAATACAAAAAAAAAAAAAAAAAAAAAAGGAAATAAAAGGAAACCACTCCTTCCTTTCTAAATATTGGTTGTTGCAACATTTTCAATAGGAGCTTCTCAGAGCAGAGCTATAGGATGACACATTGTAGAACAGCATGCATTTACCTAATGGAGGCAATTACGCTCCTACTTTACAGTAACAGTAATTCCCATTTCGTAATGACTTCTCTTCATTGTCACCTGGGAAAATGACTACTTTTAGCTGCTCCATCATTCACCACAGCAGGTGGATCATGTCTGATCTGGCAGATTTTTATGCTGGATGACCTTCTTGATGCCACCCCAAAGTGTTTTGTGTCTCATCCCAAGATCAAGATGGGCATTTTCTGCTTATTAGGCAAATGCATATCTCAATAAATTTCAGTTCCTTAGTAATATTCTTAGAGTTAATGTCCTTATTACTTTATCAACTGTTCCTTTTATATCAAAATGACAGGGGGTTGACTAAACATGCCTTGGATATAAACAGTACAAAGGCGTTCCACTGACGTTCAGCTGGTCAGTGGGCCACCGTTTTCCCCCTTATCCCTGCTTTTTAAAACTCCTGATACACTGCACAACATCACACAACAAACCCCTTACACAACAACCTTAATCAAGTTATTTAAAAGCTACACAAAGCCAACACCTACACCCCCACAGCAGGAGATCTGGCTGTTAATCCCCTGATGTGTCAATTTGTCCCAGTGACAAAAAAGGAAAAGACACTTTTATTACCTGGCCTGTTAGAATTTCACCGAACATGATGACAATAGAATGCATGTTTGCATCATAAGAATATTAAGAAAACCAAAAATCAAGAGTTGTGACACTTTACTGCATTGTTCAGCCTAGGTTTCAGCAAAAGATCACCACCTTACAAACAGTGTGAAAGGTGAACTGCCATTTATTCTCTCGCCTGTGAAAGAAATGCTTTTCAGTATAATAGTCATACAAATGTGATTACCAGTGAATTCTAGTGTGGTGAAGACCAATTTCTCCAGTACAGGACATTCCAGTCATTAAAAGTACTCCTTGGGGTATACACTGCTTTCATTCACTACCCTGAGATGATCCCGAGAGTTTAGCTTCAGACGTCAAGCCAGCGTCAGCTGGTCTGCAGTGACAGTTGCCTTAAGACAAAATTGCTTTAGTACAGAATGCATTTCCATAACCAACACGCAGCCCAATGTTTACAAGTGAGGCTTGGGGAAGCATTACATGTGTGAATCTCTCAAAGATCAGAATAATTGAGAATATTGAGAACAATTAGAAACACAAAGTGTAAGAGCACCATCTTCTGGAGACCCATGGATCTGTTTTTGTTTTTTTTAAATATAAATGTGACCTACTCTTTCTCCAGCAACCAACAGAACAAGTTCAATAAAAGCACAAGAGATTATTGCAACTGTGTTCGGTGAACCATGTCATTTGACAGCCATAATCTTTTATAATCCACCAAAGATAGTATGCAACAAACAAATTCATCTCAACTACTTTATGACAACATAGTTAAAATTTTTAGCCAAAAAGGGAACAAAAAATGAAAAAAAACAAAACAAAAACAACAACAACTTTCAGACATAATGTCAAAGATGACCTTAATAATATTGTCGGCTGGACTGAAAAGCATAATGCGTCTGCTTGCATACGTGCATGTCTGTGAGCGTCAGTAGAGTACCCAGGAAGGGCAGGGAAGGAAGCCAATGGACATGGCAAAATTTCAGACTCTGTGGCACCCTGCCAGTACTCAGTCTGTTGAAAAACTGTGTTTGTGTGTGTGTGTATGCGCAAACTAGAACAGAGAGCATTACAGGATAAATGTGTGTTTCTCTGTGGGGAATCACGTGGCCCTGTGCACACAGCATCTCTCCCCACTTCCTCCTGTGCAAACCAGGCAAAGACAGAGAGGTTCTTTCTTCAAGGCAACAAACAGAGTGCTCACAGTGTCCCGGCAGGTGAGCCCTAGTAATGTGCTGTTTTTTTGTTTGTTTGTTTTTAAAGTCCCACTCAACATTACGATTACAATAAGTGCAAACATATGAAGGATTGCAATAAATTAATTTAGATGTCACAATGCATAAACCCGTCCCTTTTCTACATTTCGTTTCAGACACATCTCATTATCTGACCGCATCTGGAAGTTTTACAAATCTTCTCTCAAACTTTCCTAAGCTAGCTTTCTGTGTGACTATCACGGTGTGTGTGAATAAAGCCATAGGAAACATTCATGTAAAACATGGTTTTGCGTGAAGGATATAATACATTTCACTGCAGAGCAGGAAGTGTAGTTGAGTGAAAACTTTCCCCACACATCCACTTCACTTGTGTGGGATGTTAATCTATGCTGATGATTGCACAAGGACATGTTCCGTTTTAAAAATTCTTTAAACCACCTAGCCGGATCTAATGTTTGTCTAAAAGGCAGGTTGCTTTTGTGGCAGTCTTTGATGTAATTCACCTGTCTCGAGTTTCACACCCTGCTGTTGAACAGGCCACAACTCCACCAGCTTGGACTAGAGGTAAGACCTTGTTCTGCTCTGCAGCAGGTGGAGAGCTGCTGGTGACGCAGTGAGCTCACAGAGGATGCAGAAGAGAACTAACATCACCAATTGCAGTCTAAGACAGTGGCCAACAGGGTAATTATTAGGGCAGGGCGATATGGCCAAAAATATATATCACGATATACATTTGAAAATTTGCGATAACGATATAACTGACGATATAATTTCTGCGAGACAAAATACAACTCCACAACTTTACTAGCGCAAAAAACCCCCATCCATTCATTTTACTTAAACAAGTAGCTGTTTTTATATGCATTAAAGCTATATAAACATTTAACAGTGCAAATGCAAATTCCTTGCTGAAAGTTTAACCAAAAGGTATTTCCAGTAGAAATGGGCTGACATATCCTGAGCATAACCATGTATAATATCCACTGAAGTTAAAAAGAGGTGCTTTGCAACATTAAACTGCAGTGTGCCAAATAAAAAAAAAGTCAAATAGGTATTTCTCGGACCATAAGGTGCACGAGATTATAAGGCACGTTAAGCGAAACAAAGCAGTGAGATAAATCAAACTTTATTCAACTCATTCTTCTTGATTCCTCCACTTCTGTACCATTGATTCATTAATGCTGTATTCTATCACAGCTGATCTATTCCCATGTTGTTGCAGTATATTAATGACTAACCTTCTATTGTGGATGGATTATCTCAGTTGTTCTACTGACTGAAGTTTGGTCCGTTTACAGCATCCTGCCATGCGATTGCATTTGTCTCTAACCATCAGGAACCGTCACGTTAACTTTTATCGAGTGGAAAAGTGTTAGCGTTCATCCTTGAGCTTCACTGTTTATGTTATGCTAACACAGCTGTGTTGATAGCCTCATTATATACCAGCTAGCCCAACTTCAGTAACCCTACAAACGTCACTGCTGTGTCGCTTCCTGTCTTCATTTATGTTGGAAGTGATAGCAGAGCTGTACGTTTGAATTTTTTCCAGAAATCTCTCAGTCAGAACATGCTATATCATGTTTAGGTAAGCGAAACTAGCGAGCTAACTTCCTGCTAACTTCTAACTCCGTTAAATGTAATGAATTCTGTTTTCATGGATGCCTGGATGTTGAACTTCATAATTACACCTGGTAAAGCAGCAATGCTGATCATTTCATTAGAGATGAAAGAATTTAGACTGTTTTACACTCTCAGCGATGTTCGTTTGACTTCGGGACTTTAAAGGACAGAGTTTAGGACCCAGATTACTCCCAGATTTACAAGCACCTTAGTCCGACAAATACGGCAATAACGACAGCCCGCTTGCATGTTCTACAAAAAAAAAAAAAAAGTACTTTGTTGTGTATCTGACGGACAAACACCAAACCAGTTAAGCTGCACCATTTTTACAAAACAATTCTGGCTCATCCGTTTCACTCAATCTACTTTCCCCATTCACATTTTCCATTACCGTGCATTCTCCGTGCCTTTTCGGCACTGCGCATGAGCGTTTTACCCATATTCTATCGCGATATGGTAAATGGCCTGTATTTATATAGCGCTTTACTAGTCCCTAAGGACCCCAAAGCGCTTTACATATCCAGTCATCCAC